ATTTATATACAAACAATTGTGTATGCGTAATGTGTTTTGCAAACAAAATGTTCGTGTGTGTTTTATTTTTCATCGTTAAATATAAAGAACAACCTCTACTTTAAGAAATAAAATATGACAGTATTAGGAATAAGTGGATGAATGTAAAACTTAGCTTATATTACCAGTTAATTTGGTTTGTATTGTATTTTCGTAACAAGCACGGTCAAGAAAACATTGAAGAACATCTGTATTACTTATCTTCGTTGAGTTTTCGCCTTAAAATTGTCGTACCTAAGAACATTAATGTCATTTATCAAGAACGTGACAGTAATATTTCACTCTTCAAAAACATTTTCAGGTTTTGCGTAATGTTTTATAATGGGGTAAACCACTAAAACCTACTGTGGTACACATAATGTGGAATATGGCATTATGTTGAAACTTTAACTATTAACACTATATTTATCGAGAGATACTCTTTTCTTTTAATTATCAATTCGTTACAGCAAGGATTTTATTATTGTTTGGCTCAGCAATCTTTTTCAGGTTAAAACCAATATAAAAAAGCAAAACAAAAACACCACAACCACTGAGTCCGAAGTAGTAAATTTTCAATGTATAGCACTTTGGTTGATCTCCATTTTTAACCAAGTGTTTATAGTTCTTAAAAATATAGCATCTTCAAAAAAAAAACCTTCAAGGTTTTTATTACTCCTTTCTCATATTTTTAACTTTACGTAGTTTTTGCAAGATTCTCCAACAATGTTAAATTTATAAAAGCTGTGTAAGATTAACTCGTATATAATATAATCAGACCAAAGAAAACAGTTCACTATAACCTTACTGCAAGGTTTGTACAAAGCATACGGTAAAATAAAGGTAAGAATTCAAAACTCTATTCATTTCAAACAGTTTAATATTAAAAAAAGAATTAACAAATCTAGCTCCTTCTTTTCTAAATAGTTAAAAATACACCAGAGTCAAATCAGGAATTTAAATTTTAATGAAAAAAATAAACCTAAATCAATAGGATTATAGATCATTTACATTTACCGAGTTCAAGAACGAATCAACATGGTAATGATATGTTTACCATACTAAGCGGAACGTGTTTTGAGGGAATAAAGCTGATTGGTCTGAATTTATAACAACGGTCCTTAACTATTCAGTATACTAGCAATAAACATGTCAAGTACAGTATACATGGGAGATAGTGCGTGAGTGTTCTGTTTATTAATTTTTTTTTTTTTTTTAATATCCTTGTTGATAAAAATCTAATTAAATACAAAATTGTTTTTTTATCGTCTCTTTTTAAAATTATATTTATTTACTCTCCAAGTTCCTTGCAAATATTAAACAAACTCTTTCATAATTGCTCTTCTTTAGTCAGAAAGATTGATTTTGTTATGTTGCTATTGACCTCGGTACTATTTACTTATTAAGCTAATTAACTTTTATTTTTTAACGTGTCTGTTTTCCTTTTTAATTATGGTAGGTACATAGGGCGATCGTCATTGTCATTGTTTTTGCTATTAGTTATTGTTGTTAGTTATTATATTATTTTTATTTGTGTTTGTTGTCTATGTCTTAGTATCATTATTTATTATTAGCCGTCTTGAAACTGTACACATTGCATAACTATTATATTGATACAGATAATGTTTGTAAACAAATAACACCACATCAAACAAAATGGAATGTTCGTTAAAAATAAAATAAACTAAAATTAAGTTGTTTTACAGAGTTGAAATAAATCTTATGCGAACTTAGGTTAGGTTCTTGAAGGGAAAATCATTATAAAATAGTATTAATTTTAAATGTTAAAAAGTTTAGTTAATTTACTAACTTATATAGTTACGAAATGTATTGAGTTACGTTTAAAACATCATCATGGAGATTCGTCATCTACAGCTTGTTTTTGTTAGTAAATGCTTGATTGAAACTATAAATTGACGGTTATAGCAAATAGATTATCACCATTCATTATAAATTGTTTGTCAATAATTGTAGATTGCCATTGCATTATTATCCGTAGAAGATCAACGATGTGAAATATAATCTGCTTTATGATTGAACAATTAGTGTGAAATTGAATTATATTCTTTGTGTAGTGTTTATACTACGATGAATTTTTTTTATTAAGTGGGGACATTTTTATTTAAATCCTATTGATTAAGGCCTATTTAACTGAGCCAATGTGATACTTTCTTATAAGTGTTTATTAGAAAATAAAGGTTAACTTGACATCCAAACTGCAATTTATATTCTAGTTAGAATATAACGTTATCAAACTCATAGTTGAACAGTAAATTGAATATAAAGAAAGACTATAACATAAGATATTTAACATAAGTAAGCTTATAAGGGTAAGACTGATATTTGTGATTTGTATAGCTTATAGTTATTTTACAAACAACAAGTCGTAGCCTAAAGCTTACTTTACGAAGTTACGAAGTTACTTTACGAAATGCGAATACAAACTTGTTTCTGGGAGAAGACAAATTAATTGCCAGTTATGGATGAATATTCCTCTTTAACTTTTTAGCATCATCAGCCTGACTGAAAACATGAAATTTTACTTCGCCAATACTTTTCTACATTGTTTGGCTGTTAAACTCTTGGTAAAATCTTAAATATAATTACCATTATTTTATACAAGAGGTTTCACCTCCTCAGGAGTTTTATTAATTAATGCAGTTAGAATTGTTCCTTTTGAAATTAAAGTTTTAACGTTGTAGGGGTTTGAAGCTCAGCGTTGTACGAAGTTATCTTGGTGGAAGAAACAGCTTTTATACTCCAGCGGAAGCGAAAGTTAAGACCTGCCAATCGCTAACACGGTTTATGGGATTCAACGATAACGTGGTCCATCTACTCACTTCGGTGGTCGAAGATTCATTGATTTTTGCTTTACTACATGTCATAAACGTTAAGGCATTATTATCTTTACATTCGTAGATAAGCCTACTATTACATTGGCTTTATATGTATTATACAATCTGTAAGACTTTGTCTTCTTTTCTCCTTTAACGTCAGAATGCTGATATACTTTATGTGTGCCACTGTTCCTAAATCCAAAATAATCTAGTTAGTTTAGCCTTGTGCTACTTAAAACTTTAGACCAATTTTAATGGAAAACGATCTGTTATAACATTAACATTCACTTTTAGTTCAATTACTGCACATAATTAAGATTCAATAATTCTGTTACTCATTATTTGTACTAAAATACATATAATGGTAGATATTCCTGCAGGACTAGCCCAACGTCCAACGTTACCTAATGACTATCGGTAAAATCGACTTTCTGTAATCCTTTAATACCTAAAGTTTTTATCTTTTTTTGTCAAAGATTTTTTATTTAAACGTATTTTTTTCAGATTAAATACATTATTTCATGTAAAACCCATAAGAATTTTTTTTTCAATTTTAATTCTAACAATTATTTAAGGCAAACTATAAACACAAATCTATGTAAGAATAAGAGCCCAACCATTCCTAATACTGTGTAGGAATGAAAATCAATTAACGTGCTTAATACAAAGATTTTTTAAACTTACTATCGTCGATAAATACAAATATTTCTGCGCAATGTACGTAAGGCTATTTTATCATCGTAAACATTACTTTTTGAAGGCTACTTATTAACAAATAATAAATATTAATATGTTAGAGTAGGGAAAATATAGGGATTCTATCGCATCAGCTGATCTGACCATATGGAAATAATTGCTTTAAAAAGGCGGAAATGACGTAGAGTTGGGTTTTATGCGGGTGGTTGGGGTCCTACGTCACTTGTGACGTATGTGGGTAGTGACGTAGGTTGTTGAGATCATTTGTGTGTTTAAAAGAATGGGAAACTACTTTACACTTATAAGTGTAGGATAGCTTCTTTCTTTTGTTTATTGGTTATTTATAGAAAACACAGAACCTTGCAGGAAAAAGTATCAAAGATACGATTTGGATTAGTTTCTCGTAATACACTGTACTAGTAGAAAAGGATTATGCAAGACTTGTAACATATACTTTGGTGAGATTGTAATTACAAGTCAAAACTGCAGACTTTGAATGTATGCTCAACCCAGTGCAGTCTAACAGCAGTGAAGAGGACCATACAGGAAAATAAGATTTCGATTAGTTTCTCGTGATTTTGTTGTCAGCTCATGACGACAAAAGATTCGTTTGTAATGGTGGCATTAGGACTTTGCTGTGGGGACATTACAAAACACCTGAGAATTAAAAGATGTAGAACGAGGTTAAGTTTGACTAAACTCGAGTGTAAATGGAATAAGTCAGAAATAGAGACTTGAGTGTAAGATTGGAAATAGCTGAAAAATTGATTGCCAAACCAAACTTTATAGATCGAACAGTGTACAATGAGGTCTTGGGAAGGTCATCTTTTCTTTTCTTTACAGAACAACTGGCAGCTGTACATATGAGTAAGACCAAACTTCTATTCAACAAAGCAATCTACATCGAGTTTATTTGATTCACCCACCGTTGGTGTTTATTGTTGTTTATATCTAAAATTTGGTACTTTTAAACAATTTCCAAATTCAAACTATCCCCCTTAACTGACATGTTTACGTACCGTACAGAGAAGTACTTGACCATCTGTCTGTATGATGTACAAACGGTTCTATTCAGTCTGTGTGATAATCAGAAAGAAAACCTGAGCTCACTCACTGTGCAACAAGTCGGTAGAGCAGTACTTGGAAACCATCCAAGTCGGCAATAAAGTACACTACTGTTGAATGCAAAAACTGGAACCCGCATTAATCGTTCTGTTGGTGGACACACACACACACCTGCGGGCGGTGTCGAGAAATATTTGCAATCCATAACAAGTCGGGAAAGCAGTACTTAGAATTTGAACTATCCAAGTCGGTAATGTAGTATATGCTAATAATATTGTGCCGGCATCTGTGTGGAGAAATATTTCCAACTCTAAACATCCATGATCACAGTTTAGTATTACTTTTAATTCTGTAGGTTAATTCTACTCTGTAAGCGGTAGTTGTTTAATACCCGAGATCTGGAAATACAATGACGGAGACAATATTCACCAAAAGAAGCCCCTCGTTGCCCCCCCCTCCCTCCCTCCATGTATCGTAGTGGGAGTAGCGTGAGTCGTTGATCTAAGAGGTTTGCGGGTTCGATCCTTACCAATCACAAAAAAATAAATTTTTTTTATTTCATTTTATACATATCTACTTGCTGTAGTACATAACAAATGCAAAACAAATGATAATTCATGTATCCAATGTTAAAAACAACTGAAAGAAGTGTTCTATTTCTTATTTAAATAAGAATTAAAAGATCAAAAGAAACTAAACTGTTTTAATGAAGACACTAATACAAGACAATATTATTAAAGAAAAGTAAATAAAATCATATGGTTAAATATTAATTCAATAACCATAGAGGTTAAACATCTTTCCCTTTGAGTTTCTTTTCAGAGGTTAGTCAGGAAAACGTTTCGTAGGTCTTATAATTCTGCCTCTTGATGATTGTTTTATTGCAGCTTCTTGATTGGGAGTAGTTGATCGTGAAAAAGGTTTACTTTTATCTTGAGTTATTCTAGATGGTGTAGTAGTTGTTCTTTCAGCATTATTTGATAGGGAAGAGTTGTTTTGAGTAACAGTAGTAAATGGCAGAGGATCTGACGTTGTATCTTTGATGGATAAAGGAATAGGATTGTTCGGTTTGGTTGTATTACCTTTGTAAGGCAAAAGGTGGTGTCGATTCCTTCTCAACGTAGTGTTTCCTGTCTTAACCCAGTATGACCTTGGCTCTTGTCCTAAGCTGATAATAATACCCTCTCTTTTTAGGTCTTGGATCCATACTTTTTTACCTACAGGCAGCGATGGAAGTTCTTTTGTAGCGTAGCGCCTATCGTAGTTTCTCTTGTAAGATGCTTTGTAAGTATCTTCTTTTTCCTTTAGTTGAGAGAGATCGGGTTTGATTTCAAGTTTTTTAGGTAAAACAGGCAGGTTATCTCGCAGTGATCTGTTGTATATTAGCTGAGCAGGACTGTATCCACTTGTGGATAGAGGTGTATTGCGGTAGGTTAGGAGGGCTAAATATGGGTCGTCTTTGTTTTTCTTTAGTACACTCTTCGCTATTTTGACTGCAGCTTCAGCTGCACCGTTACTTTGGTGGTAGCTTGGACTGCTCGTCACAAGTTTAAAGTTATAGCTTTGAGCAAACTTTTTGAATTCAGAGTTTTCAAGACCAGTGTATCTGGTAGCAAACTGTGTACCACAATCAGATCGTAGCTCAATTGGTATACCGTGACGGCAGAATACAGATTTGCATTTTTCGATTATTTCAGCAGTTGACAGGTTCTTTAATGTAGCTATTTCAAAATAACGTGAAAAACAGTCAGTGATTACTACGAACCATGTTCCTTCAAGTTTAAAGAGATCAATCGCTGCCTTTTCCCAAGGACGAGATGGAAGCTCACTGGGCAAAAGGGGTTCATGATGTTGTGTTCTATGTTCAGTACATTTGGGACAATCATTAACAAATTTCTCAATGTCAAGTGACATTCCTGGCCACCACATACTATTGTTGGCTCTAAGTCGACATTTCGTTATGCCTAGATGGCCTGTATGTATTCTTGTCAACATTTCTTGTCTAAGAGTTGTCGGGATTATGAGACGTTCTCCTCTAAGCAATAGTCCGTCACAAAAAGAGATTTCATCCCGAACTGTGAAGTATGGCTTAAGATTATCGGGAATCTTAGTTTTATCAGGCCATTCAGTTGAGCAGTAAGATTTAATTACCCTGAGTTCTGAGCTAGCCCGCTGTGCCGATGCAATTCTATCAAGAACCATGTCAGTTACATAGGCAATGTTTCTTGTTACTGTGTGGATGGCCAGTTCAACTTCCTCATCTAAATCATAACTCTCATTAGCTGCTACAGGACTTCTTGAGAGACAATCAGCAGTGGCTAAATGTTTGCCAGGAGTGTATGTCACATTGTAGGAATATCTCATCAGACGAAGTCTTAGTCTTTGAAGACGGGGAGTCATATCATTGATCTCTTTAGTAGTCAAAATACTTACCAAAGGTTTGTGATCTGTTTCTAGCGTGATGTGCTTGCCCACAATGTAGTCTTTAAACTTGTCACAGCTCCATGTTAATGATAGAGCTTCTCGTTCAATGTTAGAGTAGTTTCGTTCGGTTTCGCTCAGAGTGCGTGAAATATAAGAAATAGGCTTCCAATTCCCATCTGATTGTTGTTGTAAAAGTACTCCACCCAGGCCTTGTGTAGAAGAGTCAGCAGAAATCATAGTCGGTTTATTTTTATCATAGAATGCAAGTTGAGGTGGAGAAGCCAATAATTCTTTCAATTCATCGAATGCTTTTTGTTGTTCACAACCCCAACACCATTCGTTTTTTCTACTTAGTAGGTCGGTAATGGGTTTTAGTAACCGGCTTTTGTTAGGTATGTATTTGCCAATGAAGTTCACCATACCAAGTAACCTTTGAACTCCTAAAATATCTGTTGGAGGAGCCATTTTTCGTATAGCTTCGACTTTGGTCTCATCGACTTTGATTCCTGATTCAGATAAATGGTGACCTAAGTAGGTTAGCGAGGTTTGAGAGAACAAGCATTTGTCTTTGTTTAGGGTGAAGCCAGCACCTTCAAGTTTGGTAAGTACTTCTTCTAAGAAATAGTCATGTTCTTGTTGAGTTTTCCCCCAAACAATTATGTCGTCCATATGCGCAAGTGCATTCATTTGACCTTTAAGGGTTCGATTCACGCATTCTTGGAACACTTCTGGTGCAGATGTTATTCCAAAGGGTAGTTTCAGAAATTTAAAACGTCCAAACGGTGTCAGGAACGTTGTCAAATCTTGGGATTCTTCGTCCAATGTGATCTGCCAGAATCCGTTATTAGCATCCAATTTAGAATAGCATTTTGCTTCTGAGATTTGGGCAAGTGTTATGTCGATGGGTTGAATAGGATAGTATCTTCGTTTGACGCATCTGTTTAATTTAGTAAGATCTACACAAATGCGAACTTTGTTAGAGTCCTTCTTTGGCACAACAACCATTGGAGAGCACCAGTCTGTGGCATGGTGTACCTCAGCGATCACCCCCATTGACACCATTCTTTCAAGCTCTTCTTTAGTAGATTCCCAAAGAGGAAGAGGAATCCGACGAGGCGTGTTGATTGCAAATGGATTGGCGTTATTTTTCAGTTCTACTTTGTATTTGACATCAATGGAACCTAAGCCTTCAAACAGTTTGGGGTGTCTGTCATACCAGTCATTACTGGATGGCTGTATTTCGTTGATTCGAGCAAGTAACTGCAAACTTTTTATTGCAGGTTTACCTAGAAGTGGCTGGGAAGTGCCCTTAGAAACATATATAGTCTCATAACATGTTTTGTGATTATGTGATAATTTTACAGTAGCAGTTCCTAAAATTGACAGAGCTTTACCATTTGCGCCACTAAATGTTTTGGACGTGGGAGTGAGCCTGATTTTCTTATTCAGTTTAATGTCGGAAGGCAAAATCGTTACGTCTGCTCCTGTATCAATTTTGAAAAGAACATCATCACTGTCATTCATATTTAACACTACAGACCATGGATCATCACGCAAGTTTTTTCCTACAATGCCAATGAATGTTTGAGGGTCTATGTACTGAGAGCAAACATTTTCAATGGGTGTTTCAAGGTCAGTATCATCATATTCAATTTGACTGACTTTGTTTGATTTGCAAACATTTGGAAAATGACCAACTTTTTTACAAAACCCACATTTGTATTGTTTAGCTGGACAGTTGAATCTTTTGTGTAAAACTGTCGAACCACACCAAAAACATCTCTTTTCGACATGGGACAGGCTTTTATTGTCATTAATCCGCTTAAAATTTTGATCATTGTTTGATTTATCGGGAATAATGTTTGTCTTAATGAAATGTTGAGTATTTTTATTTATTAATGCTATGTCAGTCAAGTTAAGAGTTTGTTTCTGTCTTGATAGTTCTTCAGATCTACGGATAGTGTTTATAGCTGTGTTTAGTTTTAATTCGGGTTCAAGTTGAAGACGATCACTTAGTGTTTCGTCCCGCATACCAATAATCAAAACCATCAGAATCATCTCCTCTTCAATTTGACCCCAATCACAGTTTTTTGCATGATTGTGAAGGTCTGTGATAAAGTTCTCAATCGGCATGGAACCTTGTGTAAGTTTTAGAAACCTAGCCCGTTCAAAAATTAAGTTCTTTTTAGGAAGGAAATGATCGTCAAACTTCTGTATAACAGCTTTGAAATTAGATTTGTCATTGTCATTTAAACTGAATGAATTAAGTATGTCCTCTCCCTTTTCCCCCATACAGTAGATAAGCATGTCAATCTGATGCTTTCCAGAATGTAGAGCTAAATTACTAAGGGAATAATACCTCTCAAAACGAGTCTTCCATGTCTTCCAGTCGTGAGGATTGAAGGAAAAGGCTTCAGGAGGCTTAATGTTTAGGGATACGGGTTCTTCATTCGACTGCGCCATGTTCTATTTCTTATTTAAATAAGAATTAAAAGATCAAAAGAAACTAAACTGTTTTAATGAAGACACTAATACAAGACAATATTATTAAAGAAAAGTAAATAAAATCATATGGTTAAATATTAATTCAATAACCATAGAGGTTAAACAGAAGGCTTAAGTGTAACTTTACCGTTGAGTATAAAAAATGGCCTTTGTAAAGGCCACCAAAATGTTGGATGTTAAATTTACATTTCATAGATGTTATGTACTCTTGGGATGATGGGTGGTCTGAATTTATGTTTCTTCCTAGTAGTTGGCTGTGTATGAGCCAGAAGTTCACGGGTTCGATCCTTACCAATCACCAAAACGTTTAATTTACAGTTGGAGTAATATGTTGATTTTTTGTATGATATTGTATCGTAGTGGGAGTAGCGTGAGTCGTTGATCTAAGAGGTTTGCGGGTTCGATCCTTACCAATCACAAAAAAATTATATTTTTTTTTCTTTTATTTTATACATATCTACTTGCTGTAGTCCATAACAAATGCAAACAAATGATAATTCGTGTATCCAATGTTAAAAACAACTGAAAGAAGGCTTAAGTGGAACTTTACAATTGGATATAAAAAATGGCCTTTGTAAAGGCCACCAATGTTCGATGTTAAATTTACATTTCGTAGGTGTTATGTACTCTTGGGATGATGGGTGGTCTGAATTTATGTTTCTTCCTAGTAGTTGGCTGTGTATGAGACTGTGTATGAGCCAGAAGTTCACGGGTTCGATCCTTACCAATCACCAAAACGTTTAATTTACAGTTGGAGTAATATGTTGATTTTTGGTATGATATTGTTATCGTAGTGGGAGTAGCGTGAGTCTATGATCTAAGAGGTTTGCGGGTTTGATCCTTACCAATCACAAAAAAAAATTATATTTTTTATTTTATTTTATACATATCTACTTGCTGTAGTCCATAACAAATAATAATTCTTGTATCCAATGTTAAAAACAACCGACGAGAATTATTTAAAGGCATGGCAAATTTTTTTACTAATTTTACTGGTCTAAGTGGTCAGCAAACTGGTTTTTAGTGGACGGTAAACACTAAAACAAATGCATTTCGCTAATGCAAGTGTTTCATACTAGCACAAGATGCTAACCTTGAGTTAATGAGCTTTCATCTCATCCCACCATTCCTAACTGTCCAAATAGTATTAAAAAAAACAGCAGGGCTAATAACTGGTCACTGCTTTTAAAGATGTAGATAGTGTTATGATGCTTAATCGTTAGTATGATTTCAAAACTCCAAGATGGTTTAACTATAGTGAGTATCCAATATGTTGTAAGATTACCTTAAAAATACACTATTGAAACTGTACTATTATAATATTACTAGCACTGATGCCCACCTAGCGGTGTAAGCAAAGAGAAATGTATTGTTTAAGGGCAATGTTGGACCATTGTGGAATATTTAAAATTAAGGTAAGCTGAAATCAGAAACAAAAGTAGATACAGTTGTCAAGTTAATATGCTGCTCCTGTTTGAATCAAAAGTATTTCAACATCATTCCAGCTCATCAATTTCCGGTTCTAGTCTGAAAAACAGAAAGGTTTGTTTGTATTGTGAAAATTTGACACCCATATGAGACAATGCATCTTTGAGCTACCAGATGTTTACGTCGAGGTTCACACAAGGCCACGCTCAAATTTATTCCCTGGAGTGCTCAGAGGGAGCCGAGAAAAAAATCCAGAGGACGATACGAAGTTGCCATGGCTTTGACTGATCAATTTATTAAAATTTAAGCGAAGATTCAGAGCTCTAGAAGCGCTCAGGAAATCCTGCAGACGCTCACCTTCTTCAAAGTGTTTTGGATCATTTTGCCTAACTTTTGAATGGCTCTGTAGGGTCGACTAGTATTCAATCTTAAGTCAATGTGATATGGATACCCGTATTAAACCTTAAAATAATTAACTAAAAGCTCTAGTAGAATTAATAAAAATTCCACGATCGAATGAACAAAATCTAGAATAAAATTCCTACAGAGTTGTCGGGGTCTAATTAATATAATCGAACGGAGAATTTATCGCGATATGGTTTAAAACCAATTTTATATTAATATTCGTAGCTGATTGTTCGAATCAACCTACTCTTAAGACTTGGTTCTTTCACCCGCAAAAAAAAACAAAAAAACAACGGGGTTTAGAACTCAGATGACGAGTCTCGGGGTATTAAAACAACGAATTAACTCAAATAAACGTACGTAACAATTATTCGTTAAGCGAACGGAACAAATGTACTTTCGTAGCTAATTGATCCAAACAAACCGAAATATATCCACCGCTATTTCACTGGCAGGTAGGAACTGGTGGGGATTTATACGAGTCGGCGAAACTAAGTTACTAAAATCTAGATATTGAAAATCTAATTTGGAGCGGGTAACATAAGTGGCAGATGAGTATGCGTAAGTTATAACGGAAAATAAACGTAGCTAACCTTCGTAATAAAATCGTAGCGTTATGTTGCGCGTCGTCGTATACTTCGTGTGAGAGGCTTGTTCGGAGCTAGTCGGCGGTCTGGATGAAAGTATGTGTCAGATTGCTGTTTATTTGAATTTTGTTAACAATATTATTTTTGAGACGGTTAAGGAAGTGGTATTTAACATGTCGCGTGACTAATTGATTATGTTGATTACTTGATTACTTGACTACGCTATTAAAGTTGGGAAAAGCCCTGTGGCCAGATTTTTACTATTACTGATTTATACCTTTCCAATATCTGCGCTTAATTTCGTGCAGATTGCTCCAACCGTTCAAGAGGAGTATTGTAAAACTCTGGATGAAAGTATGTGTCAGATTGCTGTTTATTTGAATTTTGTTAACAATATTATTTTTGAGACGGTTAAGGAAGTGGCATTTAACATGTCGCGTGACTAATTGATTATGTTGATTACTTGATTACTTGATTACTATGATACTTACTTACCGTTACTTTGATTACTATTAAAGTTGGGAAAAGCCCTGTGGCCCGATTTTTACTATTACTGATTTATACCTTTCCAATATCTGCGCTTAATTTCGTGCAAATTGCTCCAACCGTTCAAGAGGAGTATTGTAAAACTAAACCAGAAGTGTAGTATAAGAGCTTTGTTCCGCTCAAAAATAATAAATATACAGGACCACACACCTGGACCTTACAAATATAAACGCCGGCAGCAACAGTGGTTGACCGGGCTATAGTGCTGGAGTTGTGAGGGCCCGTGGGACGGATTCCTGAGAGATTTTTTTATAACACCATATTGACGTTAAATAAAAACACGGGATGCCAACATGGCGTTTTTTAACGCTATGTTGGAACTCACCGATATGGTCTTTACCACCATGCAAAATTTGTAAACGATTGCTTCAGCCGTTTAGGAGGAGTTTGCGTATTACGAAATGCATAAGAGTATAAGAGCTTCGCTTGCTCTGCTCAATAATTTGCTATTGCAACTGAGCTCTAGTTTCAGTTTTGAGGTTGTACCATGTTTTGAGTTTGTTTCATGTGTTTACCTTTGCAGAAATAGGTGGGCAGAGTACACGGCGTTGTAGAGTAGACTTTGGTTTTTACGTACATATTTAACCTGGACTGGACGACATCATGTGCTCGATCAGAACGTTTAAACTAAGCGCCAGTTAAACGAAAAGTGATTTCCGTCAACTGATATTACATGTTGATATTACATGTTCTTACACCATAGAACTCTTAAATTTAGGATATACACCGTGACGTTTCCTCCTAATCTTTGCAAGATTAACAAATTAAGGAGATATCTTTTAAAATAAAGAAAATTGTTATAGAAATCACATTATAAATATAAAAAGTCAAATAATTAAATGTAAATACAGTATTGCATTAATTTTGTGTTTCTTCTTTTCAATAGTACAGGTATAAACAGTAATAATCAGTACAGTATGAATACAAAATAAACATGTGGATTGTTCTTCAAAATCTATATATATAATACGCTAAGCCGATTTTTGTAAACAGAACTCCTCCCTCATTTTTGGACCGATTTTAATTATTAAAGTGTCAAAAAAATTGCCCTGATCTGTAGTTTTGCAAAGTGTTTTTAGTTTTTTGATATCTTTATTAGTTTGAGCAGGATCTTCCATCAAAGTTGGGGTTTCTCCCATAAGATTGACATGGGAAAATCTAAATGTTTAATTGGAAACTTTGTCTCCACTAATTTGAGAGAACGGTTGGGTAGAAACTTGGTAGAGGTGTCCAAAGAAAGGTCTTGGTCTGTAGATGAGCTATCAAAAGAAAAACGAAGTAAATTCGCGTAGGGCTCTGCCCCAGAAGCCTTTAAAGATCCCTTTACAGATTTGTTTACATTTGGCCATGTTGATAATACTTTTTAATGAAACAGCTGTTGATTTTAAAATTGTATTTTAAACAACACACATTTATAGAGATCGATGATTGGGAGTTACTAATATTGTCCAAAAGAAGTATTTGCAATGTTATTTTCTGATTTTAAAATTGGTTTTCTTCTGTATCATGTCATGTTTTGCAATATAACGTGTCTTCTCAACAAACAGATATTTTTTCTCAAATAAGATCATAGATTAATCTTTATTACACTGATGAAATCGTGGAAGTCTTTAACTACAAAAGATCCACCATACGATTTTAATACTATTTAAAGGTTCTTCCAAAAGAAGAGATACCAGTTAACATACTAATAATGACTCCGATGAGGAAATATTTTATTCGTATGGGAAATATTTTATTCATTGTATGACTAAACATATTTGGTAACTAACGCAATTAATATCATTATTGTTTTTAAACTTATTACTCTTTAAACAATGCTAATGCTCAAAAAATGTATAATTTCACTCAATTTATCGCATTTATATGAATTAGCCTAAGCTTTGAAAGTAACCGTCGATTTCGACGGGTTTCACCTAGTATGACAATAAAACATTATCTGACAGTTCTGTAACTTTCTTACCTACGCGCCAAGAGGAAGAAAGTTCGTAT